TGGAGTTTAATATAGTTAAGTTAATATAGAGAAGTGTGAGGTGTTGCATTTTGGAAAGTCAAATCAAGGTAGGAGTTTCATGGTGAAGGTAGGGCCTTAACGAGTGTGGTGGAACAGAGGGACCTTGGAGTTCAGGTGCAGAGTTCTCCGAAAGCGGAGTCACAGGCAGTGAAGACGACTTTCAGCACACTGGCCTTCAGTCAGGGCATTGAGTACAGAAGTTGGGAAATTATGTTGCAGTTGTACAGGATCTTACTAAGGCCGCACTTGGAGTATTGTGTTCTGTTTTGGTCATCTTGCTATAGGAAGGATGCTATTAAACTCGAAAGAGTGCAGAAGAAATTTACAAATATGTTGCAAGGACTCAAGGGACTGAGTGATAGGGAGAGATTGCACAAGCTAGGACCTTTTTTGTGTAGACTGTAGGAGACAGAGGGGCATCGAAGTGTATAAGATCATGACAGGAATGATGGATAGGGTGAATGCACTCAGTCTTTTTCCCCAAGGTTGGGGAATCGAGGATAAGAGGGCATCAGTTTAAGGTAAGAAGAGAAAGAATACATGGGAACCTGAGGGGCAACTTTTTTTTTTAAAAAAAAACAGAGGGTGGTATGCAAATGGAATGAGCTGCCAGTGAAAGTGGTTGAGGTTTTTTAAAAGGCATTTGGATGAATACATGGATAAGAAAGGTTTAGAAGGATATGGGCCAAGTGCAGGGAAATGGGGTTAGCGTGAATGGACATTTTGGTCGGCATGGACCAGTTTGGGCTAAAGGGCCTGTCTCTGTGCTGTTGAACTCTATGACTCTAAGCAAAGCTAAAAGTCAAGGAATGAACGGGCTCACAATGGGAGGCTGGTGAACTTAAGATTGAGCCCAGAAAGTTGTAAACTGCCTAGTTTGAAGATAAGGTGTTGCTCCTCCAGTTTGCGTTGTGATTAGCTGGAGCACTGCAGCATGCCAAGGACAGATAAGTGGGCATGCGAGCAAGGTTCTCAGAGTTAAAATGACCAGCTACAGGAAGGTTAGAACACAAGAACATAAGAACTAGGAGCAGGAGTAGGCCGTCCGGCCCTTCGAGCCTGCACCGCCATTCAATAAGATCATGGCTGATCTTTTCGTGGACTCAGATCCACTTACCCACGTTCTCACCGTATCCCTTAATTCCTTTATTGTTCAAAAAATATCTACCTTATCTTTAAAACGTTTACTGAAGTAGCGTCAACTACTTCACTGGGCAAGGAATTCCATAGATTAACAACCCTCTGGGGTGAAGAAGTTCCTTCTCAATTCAGTCCTAAATCTGCTCCCTCAAATCTTGAGGCTATGCCCTCTTGTCCTAGCTTCACCTGCCAGTGGAAACATCCTCTCTACTTCGATCTTATCTACTCCCTTCATAATTTTATATGTTTCTATAAGATCCCCCCCTCCATCTTCTGAATTTCAATGAATATAATCCCAATCTACTCAGTCTCTCCTCATAAGCCAACCCCCTCAACTCCGGAATCAACCTAGTGAACCTCCTTTGCACCCCCTCCAGTGCCAGTACATCCTTTCTCAAGTAAGGAGACCAAAGCTGCACACAGTACTCCAGGTGTGGCCTCACCAGCACCTTGTACAGCTGCAACATAACCTCTCTGCTTTTAATCTCAATCCCTTTAGCAATGAAGGGCAAAATTCCATTTGCCTTCCTAATTACTTGTTGTACCTGCAGACCTACCTTCTGTGATTCATGCACATGGACACCCAGGTCCCTCTGCATAGCAGCATGCTGCAACTTTTTACCATTCAAGTAATAACCCTTTTTACTATTACTCCTACCAAAATGGTTGGGGTCATGCTTGCACACAGAATGAAGGTTCTGCAAAGTGGTATAACAACTGTTTTGGTGCCACTTCATGCTTCTGCCTGGACCTTGAAAAATTTGTTCATTTTGCCTCCAATTTCCACCTCTCTAAACTTTCACATCGTCCAATTCCAACACTTCCCTTCTTTTCCTTGATCTCTCAGTCTCCAATGCAGGGAATAAACTGTCCACTGCCATCCACTACAAAGCCACTAACTCCCACAGTTACCTTCACTACAACTCTTCCCACCCCACATCTTGCAAAGATTCCATCCAATTCTCCCAGTTCCTTTGCCTAAGTCGTATCTCTTCGGATGACGCCACCTTCCAAAACAGTGCTAACATAATCAATTAAACATAACCAGAAAAGCAAGAAAACATGATCTGGTTAAGGTGATAAAGTATTACAAAGGACAGGAACAGTAGGAAAACTGAACACTATGCAGAAAGTGATATTTATTGAGCTGCACCATAGAAATGGTACACCAGGGAAAAGAAATATAGGTGGTTATCTTATACAGGTGAAGGAGAAAAGATGGATTAACAAAAAAGATACGAGGGATTAAAAAGTAGAGATTTAACTTTTGCTAGTAGTCTAAATGGATTGGCGGGGGGCGGGGGTTAGCCAGTTTAAACATGGCCAATAAAGACAATTAGCTTAGCAGCGTTGGTGACAATACTGCCATTGTTGAAAAATAGGGAGTACAGTAAAGTTTGTGGAACAGTAACAGTCTGCTGTACTTATAAGAATACCAGTTCTTCTGGGAAGAGGATGGGAAGCTTAACTACAATTTATTCCTCCAACCAATGAGGTTCTTGAACACAGGCAAGCTGAAGTAGTTCCTTGCTCCAAGTTTCTCACAGAAGACAAATAATTCTATTTGTAGGATAATTTTCTGACTCAGCTTCACCTGCCGAGAATGCAGAAGAGGTATACATGGAGGAATCTGTGATATTAGTGGATGAAGTTCTGTCCCCAGTGGATAAAATTCCGTATCCACAAAGTTAGAGTTTATCCCATATAAAATCACTGCCACCTTCTATGCTCTGTTGCAATGGAAATGGTGATAAGGTTTAACTTGTTTGGAATCACTTATACAATTTCCTTGACTCAGCAGAAGCAATTAGGGACTTAAACAGGGTTTTGATGCCATGTAGGTTGGAGACTGATTGGGATAACCAATCTTATGATTTCCTTTCCTACAAAGCCTTTTGAGCACTTTTCCAATTAGAAATCTTCATTTGGCAAACTATGAACACAGCATAGAGTGTGTCAATAATATTATCCATCAAGTCACCATTTCTCCTCCAGGAATCTCCTCACCACAAACTGTAAAGTAGGTATCTATTTAAAACAGTGGAAATATGGTGTTCATTAAATAATGCAGGGGCTTTGAATGGGAAAAGTATGACAATCCAGTTTGGTAGTCCACTCACTCTTTCCAAATCAAAGCAATTGAAGTGCAAAGCTGACTGCAAGTTTAAAAAATCATCACACTTGGCCACCTCCAAAAATATGTAAAATAAATTAAATAATCTTAAAGGCACAGCAGGAATCAAGGCTTGAGGGTCATACGTAAAAATCCAAAAAAGGCAGCAGACTAAGTGAGGGAGCCAGGCCAAAAACTGCAAGGATCTTAGACTCATTTAAACAAAAAAGCATAAAAGAACAAAAGCAAGGATGTTATACTGGACTTCTATAAATCATAGTTGAAGCTTTAACTAACATCCAATTCCAGCCACTATACTTTATCCAAAGTATGTTTTGTATGGAGATGGTACGGTGAAATCGGGTGAGCAACGCTGATCTTTGACTCAAAGATTGGCATTAAATAATAATTAGTCTTTGCACCACTTACTGCACTCGAGTTCTGGTGGCAAGAACTAGACGGTTTATCTGTAGTCTGATCATAATTGTTTCTAACACCTTGGTTATACAATTCAACATTTATTGGTTTTGTAGATTTCAGCATTTGTTGAAAAGTTCATTTTAAAAGCTTCTGAAGTATTTCGAAATTTTAAAAATAAGAACACCATATACATTCATATGGCTTCAGAATGAGAAATTACTAGATAATCATCTATGAATGCCACCTGAAGAAAAGGAGACCTGCTTTTAGATTAAAGCATTTCATGCTCACTGATGCTGGCCAAAAATTTAAAGGGAAAAAAAGAGCATTTCTCAGGTTTTGCTCAAGGGAAAAAAAAAATCAATTCTTACACTCTGTCAACCTATAAGAATGGTAGTTGCCTTTTAGGCAAGTCTACTGGCTTTAATTGGATCTTGAACAAACAGTACGACTAAGATTAATACAGTTCTAGCGGCAACATCCAAAATGGCCATCTCATTGTGCAATCATGTCTAAATTAGGCCACACCTGTTCAGATTAAAACCTGAAAGCAGCAAACAATATAAAGTCCTCAAAATTGATACGCACGTAATGTCTATAGCTCACACTTTTATTCCTGTGGATGTTAGTTGTCACCTGCAAAGAATTAGCCAATCAAAAAAAATACAATATTCAATACGGGTGGAATCCAGGAACTGGCACTGGCCATTGGATGAAAGAATCTGCAGGGACTGAACTGAAATGAGTTAACCAAGCACAAGAGAACCAAAAAAAAAAAAAAAAAAATTTAGAAAACTGAATAAAAAAGAATAAATTCTTGACGTAAACTGAAAACAGACTGCAAGAGAAATTCTGCAAAACAAACAAGGATCAAAGATTTCAACTTTTTTGAAATGGGAGAGGAATTAGCAATAAATGAAAACTAAATAATTCAGAAAAAAAATATATAGCACAGTGCAACACAGTAACCAGGATTCTTCAAACAAGAACACTTGCTATTGATCTTCACCAGTTAATGTATGTGATGAGCATGCTTCATTCTCCCCTACAACATCATTCTTCTTTTACTATTCAAGTTGCCAATTTTAACTTATGTACAGCTCTCCAAGCAATAGCCTTTCAAAATCAGGTCGAAGTAACTTCAAACGTTACCATTATTTTGGCACAGTATAAATTTTGTATTACCTGCTAGAATTTTAGTTACTGGCTAATTACGAAATTCTTTTCATTTTCAGTTCTCTTTGGCATACCACTAAAAATCAACTAGAAGGAAAGACTTTTTTTGGAATTTCAGAACAATTATAGGTAACTGTACAAAAAGTGTCACTTTATTTACATCCACTTATTCAGTTGAATAACATTCTTGAAATTTTCATTGACATGTTCTTCATGAGTACTGACCGTGTTCCACTCTCCTGTTTCCATTCTGAAACATACTCATTGCCTCTAGGTTGAGAGCACATACACCACGCATGAATGCTTTCTTCATAGAATCAGTATACTTGTCCTTTTCAGCTAACAACCGTCTTATCTCTGCTTTTGCCCTTTCCAGTTCCTCCCTTGACTAAAATTTCAAATGAAACAATGTTAGAAAAGACTGCAATTTTCAACAATGCATAACACCTATTTTCATCATGAATATACACATCCAACTTCAACATCCTCCTGCTGCTAATATATGATCTTTTCTATTAAAACCTCCACATTATCCTAATGAATTCAAATCAAAAAGCTTCTCAATTATTTTAAAAATGTGAAAAAACAGAACATACAACATTGCTCTCAAATGGATTGTCTCGTCAGATTGTGACAGAGTCATAGAAGTGAGGAGAGCCGCATGGAAGCACTGGAACCAAAACAGGAATGCAGCCACTGCCAGAGCATTTTGGCCTGGTGGACAACAAAGGATGGAGGATACATTATCCTCACCCTCCTGTTCAAATCTCCCTCCCTGCCTATGTCTGTCACCTCCTCCAGTCCCTACCCTTCTGGCCTACTATTTAAAAAAAAAACCGCAAGGAAAATGCTAAACAAACAATTTCCATATTTTCACGAGCATTTCAGCTTGCTTATAAGTTAGAAATGCTTCCTATCCAAAATTAAAACATGGCCCTTTCAGATGCCTTTTGTATTCTTCCCCGCTTTCCCCCCATAACTCCCTACAAAATGCTAATTTATCCAAGGAATGGGGTCATTCTCAAGTCCAGGAAATAAGCATTTCCATTAGCTAAATCACTACAAACATACTGAAGTGTTAAAGTAGAAATTTTATGAAGATTTGCATTTTCTCAAAAGAAAAGAATTACATTGTTATAGTATCATGTCCCCAAACTTAGATTTTCACGACCAGTTTATAGAAAGCTTTTGGCTCTTGGTGTAAGATTTTGTTAATGACTACATATTACTGGCTCCAAAATAAAGAGGGATGAAACAGTCTGAGGATTTTCTGAATATTCCGCTAACTTTGGCGGAAGAGCTACACAGAATACTGTAAAAAAATAGCAGAATGACTGAAAGTTTGGAGACACAAGCAACAGAAACCACAAATGTTTACTTTCTCCCATATTAAGATGTTTTGCAGTAAAAATGTGTGCATCTACATCTGATCAATTGCCTGTGCACACAAGGAACTTTTTTTTAAAAACAAGTTATTTTTCTGGTACTTACTGTATCGAGCTGTCTTTCGTAATCCCTGGACAACTGGATACAGACCTCCTCAGCACGAGCTTGACACGCCTTTTCTACTCTCTCTTTCCATTTTGTTTGCATTTCTGATTTCCAAGCTGTACACACCTTTTTCATCAGACAGAAATTATAGTGTCTTTCAGCCAGGGTATTTGCATACGCCTTAAAGATAATGAGACAATTACTTAAAATTATGTTCCAACTGGATGGCAAGTCAAAATGATTTCTCAGTCACCTTGTAAAATAAAGCAGTTCAAGTTGTACAAGTGTGCATTGAACATGGCATTATCAATTCAGATTAGTTGCAGAAAGAGCATAGAAATACATTCAAACTAAACACTTCCCTTGCTGTAATCTGAACTGTCACAACAACTTTATGAACTATTACAAAGTCAGTATTCAATTTGGACTTGAAAGGCAATTCTTTCACTGGCCATTACAATCTTACATCATTCAAATGAGCTGTACTTTGCAGTAAAAGGATGTCCTGATGACAAGGAGTCCAGAATCATGGGTCACAGTCTAAGAACTTGGGATAGGCCATTTTAGGACCGAGATGGGGAGAAATCTCTTCACCCAGAGATTGGCAAGCCTGTACAAGTCACTGCCACAGAAAGCAGCCGAGGCCAAAACATTGGAATATTTAAAAGTAGGAAAAAGATTCTTTTTTAGGGCTGAATGGATCAAAGGGTATAAGGAAAAGGCAGAAGCACAGCACTGAGTTGGATGTTCAGTCATGATTGTAGTGAACGGCAGAACAGAATGGCCGACTCTTGCTCCTACTTTCTATGCTTAAAAATTTATGTAGCTCTTGTCACCTTGTGGAGAGAAATGTGCTAATTTTAAAGAAAACATTTGAATCACAAAACAAGAAACTGAAAATGTTGGAATAAACAAATAGGTCAACATTGGTGGGGAGAAATTGTATTAACATTCAAGGTTTAATCCTTAGACTATAAACACAGATTTCTGTAAAGTTAGGAAGAGGAGAAAAGGAAGACAAAATACATTCTCTGAACTGCAAGTCTAAGTGACAGATGAACGATCAACTTTAAAAGACAGTAAAAGATCACCTGACAACGAAGTGTTTAACATCTAATATAGCAAACAGCCCATTCACAAAATCTTATTATTGTCCATTTTGAGAGATTAAAAGACACTTTGGAATGCAAAAAAATTTGTATCTGATGACCTAAAATTAAAAAACATTGGAAAGACCTAATTCTGCAAGGACAACAAGCCATGAGTCACTTAAAAAGTCCAGACCTCTACCCTAAATGGAAATATACATTAACAAAGATAATCCTTATATTTGAAAATAAAATTGACTTGATATCCAGTTATCAAATCAATCACCAATACGTATGAAATGGTCACGGTGTCCTTCACACAATGTCTACAGGCACATCTAATATAAAATGTCTTTTACAAGGACAACCCAAGAAAAGATTCCATTAGCAAATTAAACAAGCAGGCATAGGTGTCACCTCAGAACAGAACACTGTAAGCATACAGACAGACACTCCAGTTATGGATATTCCCATCCAGTGGAGCAACTCATTGCCAACTTTTTGTATTACAGCTGACCCCGTATTCATAAATGAGCTGAAGTTTCCTTGGCCAATTCGCTCCACTGTATAATTACTGGTCTTAACTGTGTCATTTCTCTCATCAGTACACAGAGGACTGGTGATTTTAAACAAGATTTGTTACAAAAAAGTATAAAAATAAAAGTCACCAGACACTGACAGAAAGACAACAGTACACCACAGCTCATTTCCTGATTGGAATAAAACCTGTAGATGAATAAAAATAGATACTAAAGGTAAGTTACCATGGTACTACTAGGCCATAGGCTGCTCTCTCATTAGAAAGAGATAACTGGCGCAGTTTAACCCAAAGGTCAGCACACCTCACGTGTGTGTGTGTGTGTGTGTGTGTGTGTGTGTGTGTGTGTGTGTGTG